AGCATGAGTTCTGGGTAAAGAACCAATCACGGGGTGTGTACTAGAGGTAAAGCATCTGCACAACGGTTTCTAACAAAGTTCCCAGAGTCATCAATAAATCCTTCGGATATTATCAACTTACACGACTACTCGTGAGCTAATAATATTCTCAAGATAAACTCGTCTGAGTGTAGTATCGCATGACAACCATCACAGGTCTAAACCTGGATAATCACTGCACTACATACTAAAAGGTAAAGAGGGATGAATGGTAACTAAAGGTCCTCAGCTTCACGGGCTCCCAGGTCAGAAAAAGTGATGCCAATACAATTACTCGTATGACATTAGTAATCTCAAAGGGGCCTCCACTGAGCGTGGTTATCATATTCTAGACATGTTATAACTACTCCCAATAGCTAACTATTGATTATACCATAATCCTATCATAGGTGTACGCTTAAGTTCGGGTTAGGACTTATCTCACCACTCAAGATAACAACTCTACATACAGAAAAAACCCAGGCACAAACAGATATATGCAAATATTTACAAATATACAGATATACAAGCAAGCAAGCATATAGCAAACACAAATACAAACAAGGTGGGATTAACCCTCTTAGGAAAATGTCCCCAGTGAAGTCTCCATTCTTGGATGTCACCCACGTTTCTCTCTCTGATGTTTCCAAATTGAGTCTTTGATTTTGATGTTTTTCCATAATCTATCTGAGGTTTTTCCGGATTTGTTTCTCTCTCTGATGTTTTTCTAGATTGATTCTTTGTTCTAGTTTTCTTTCAGAATCTATCTGATGTTTTTCCAGATGGTCCTTTAATTCTGATGCTTTTTCAGAATCTATCCGATGTTTTTCCGGGTGTATTTCTCTCTCTGATGTTTTTCCAGATTGAGTCTTTGTTCTGATGTTCTTCCAGAACCTATCTGATGCTTTTCCGGATAGTCCTTTGTGATTCTAATGCTTTTCCAGAATCTCATTTCCTTTGTACTTATCTGATGCTTTCCCGGATATGTATTTTACTTCTGATGTTTTTCCAGAACTTCTTTTGTGTCTATCTGATGCTTTTCTGGATATGACTTTTGTTCTGATGTTCTTCTAGAACTTCTTTTGGATCTATCTGATCCTTTTCCGGATATGACTTTTGTTTCTGATGTTTTTTCAGAAACTCCTTAGTACTTATCCGATACTTTTCCGGATATGCATTTTGCTTCTGATGTTTTTTCAGAACTCCTTTTGTGTCTATCTGATACTTTTCTCGATATGACTTTTGTTCTGATGTTCTTCCAGAACTCCTTTGTGCCTATTTGATGTTCTTCCAGATATGTCTTCAAACCTTCCCGTACATTTAATGCTCTTTTAAATGTTTCGGATGTACTTTTAGAATCTTTGTCCTCATCTATTGCTCTTCTAGATGTCTTAAATTTTTTTCTGACTTTGGTTAACAGCTGCTGAATGTTTTTAGATTCTTCTCACCTTATTCAATGGTCTTCTGAATGTTGTGACTCTTTTACATACAGTTTCGTTCATGGATGAAGATTGTTGCCTCCCCAGTGCTGCTGCCTCTTCCCAGTGAGTTGTTACTCATTGTGTGATCTCTATCCTTGTTGGCTTTCATTGTCGTCTGCATCCTTTACATTTAACATCTCATCATTTTTATCATAGTAGAGTTCATTGCATGTCAGCATTGCATAGTTCTCTTTTGTCCATAGCATAGCATGTCATTGCATCTAAGGGGAAAATTTCAGTTATCTATATCTAAATACTTTTCACCATGATTTCATGAGGTTGGTCATCACTCATGTCATCCGGTAAAGATATTTAAATAGGGGCAATTGTCATACCCTAAATTTTACCCTCAGATCCTTTGATCATTTCATATCAGTTTAAGTCAGTCATTTTTACATTCTTCTAGTTAAACATTTCATTTCATCAAAAAATAAATTTAAACTAAATTAATAATCTAAAAGTAATTAAAAAATGATTCTAAATTAAAAACTTAATTAACTAAGTAAATTTAAACTAATTTAATTAAAAGAATATGTAACTAAAATATAAATTAAATTAAAATATAAACTAAATTAGAAATAACAAAAAACTATACTAAAATATAAACTAAATTAAAATGACTACTAAAATAGAAATAACTAAAAAACTATATTAAAATATAAACTAAGTTAAAATAACTACTAAAAACTATATTAAAATAAAAACTAGATTGAAAAATAAACTAAATTAAAATTAAAATTAAAATTAGAAAATAACCAAAAAAGAGAAGTTATATTAACAATACAAACTAAATTAAAAACTAAACCAATTCTAAATAATTCTTAAGATAATAAAAAAACAGATTCTAAAATGGAATGATAAAATCGACTAAAAAGCACGATTAATGATGAAATAAAATGTTTAACTAGAAGAATGCAAAAATGGCTGACTTAAATTGATATGAAATGATCAAAGGATCTGAGAGTAAAATTTAGGGTATAATACCTTCCAAGATGATAAATGGGATTTAACGCAATTAATTACCGGATTTCAAAAAGACAAACGTTTATGCTTGCCGCCAATGGTAAGTCCAAGAAATTAAAAGGGAGAATATCCTTTATACATGCCAAAAAACGAGTAGCCGCTTCATGAGAGATTCATCCACTGCGACCCCATACAAAAAGCTATTTATCGCATTAACTTTTAATCCCGAATCCAACTCAAATCCTCTTAGAGTTTCCTTCAAACCCCAAATGTTAGACCAAGTTGCATCACACATCAAAATAATATCTTTTAAGAATTGTAGTAGGTTATGAGTAACTCTGCCTTTAATTGTAAAAACGCTTATTATATCCAAACTTGACGCCTTTGATACCATAGACGCAAGGCATTCATCTACAATGGCGAATAAGAAAGGAGACATAGGGTCTCCTTGTCTGAGCCCCCTAGACACATTAAAATCCTTGGTTGCACTACCGTTAACTAGAACGGACATGAAGCCGTAAAGACTCCACCCTTCACCCATAGTAGCCATTTCTCCCCAAATCCCATAGCTAGCAAAATCTTCATTAGAAAGCTCCACTCGACACAATTATAAGCCTTGACGAAGTTCGATTTGAGCAAGAATCAATTTATCTTATTCCTTTTAGCAAAATCGATCAATTCATTTTCCATGACAACCCCGTTAAGTAACTGTCTACCTGGAATAAACACGGTTTGAGATGCAAAAATTAACCTACCAATTACTCTTCTTAGACGTGCAGCCAAGATCATGGAAATTATTTTATAAACACAACCGATTATGCTAATTGGTTTATAATCCTCCAATCCTTGAGGGTTCTCTGATTTTAGAATTACTACAATGAAAGATGACAACATAGCCTTGGGCAGCTTTGTAGAAACATGAAACTCACAAATACACTTGAATACATCTGAACCAACTATTTCCCAACAATGCTTGATGAAATTAAAATTTAACCCATCAGGCCCAGGGCTTTTATCACCGTCGCAGTCGAACACGGCATCATGAACTTCTTCTATAGTAAATAACTCCTCCAGCCTTACACGTTCAGCAGTAGATAACTTTGGACATCGAGACATATCCAATGATGGTTTAAATTTTGTATCCTTCGAAAATCTCTTCAGGAAGTGATCCACGAAAGCTTTTTTGATGGAATCAACATCTTCTACAAAAAAAGGCCCCACTTTCAGGACAATGATCACGTTTTTGCTTTAACATACTTTCTTTATGCATCAGGTTATTCCATACATCCTCTTGTGCTTTACTCCTCTGTAGCAGTACCTCAGATGATACAATATTGTAGTCCATAAATATTATTGTCTTAATATTTATTCAATAATTCCACCCCTTCTTCAATTTTTAAGTAGACCCACCCGAAAACCTCTCTATAATCTTGACCTTAGAGCTTTGAATTTTTTACTAAAAACCATTGCCGCATTTCCACTTAAATGATACGAATTCCATTCGTTCTTCACAAAATCCATAAATTAAGGGTGCTCAAACCAACAATTGAATATGGAGTCGATAAATAATAATTATGTCTAAAAAAAAATATTTAACATTCTTTAGAAGTAAAATACATTATTTTAGTGCAATTTTTTTTATTTGTAATGTAAACATAATTTATTTTATTTTTTTCCCTTCAAAACTCATCAAATTTTTTTTTATAAAATAGTTTTTAAAAATTAAAAATTAAAATTCATTCAAACAACTTGAAAGATTTTGCTTTTGTTAGACACAAACATAACATATATTTAACATATAATTTTACAAAATAATCAATCAAATTTTCTTTACTAATTAAAATATGGAAATAAAATTTTCTCTATTATTTATTATCACAACCATTCCACTATTCCGATTAAAAATAAATTAAATTTAAAATTAATTAAAAAATTTCTTTTTCTTACACATTTGTAAGAATATGGATTTCAGTTGCTTTTTCATACAAAAAATTTATTTTTGTTCACGTAGTATTTAAAATATAATTAAAAAATAGACAAAATCAAAATGAAAGCAACTCAAATCTATTTCAACTTTGATAAATTTAAGGTTCTGCATAAAAGCAATCAACAAGATAAGAAGGAAAAAAAAAACTTTTCATCACCAAAAACAAAACTTTGTAGCAACATAGACATCACATCAACACACATATGTATGAAAATTCACGAGTGTATCACCGTCCCTCATCTCACGAACACACACATACTCTTTCTCTTGTTCAATTCTCAAGCAACTCATTCATTCACACATTTCTGGTTGTTGAACTCTTCACGAGCTTAAACCATTTACGTGTCTCTTTATTCACCCACTCTCTGCTTCTTCAGTGGTCCACACACTTTTCTCGTTTTGTTTAATCTCAAACGTTGTTTTATCTCTTCCCACCATTACCCTTTTTGCTATAGCTTTATCTTTTATGATCATGATAATGTGAAGTGAGTTTTTACCTTATTGGTGTTGCTTGCTTGTTTCATGTTAAAGGTCTCATTTTTTTTAAGCAAATGGATCGACCTGTAATTGTTGTTGGGCCAGGAATGGATATGCCGATTATGCATGATAGCGATCGTTATGAACTTGTTCGCGATATTGGTTCTGGGAATTTCGGGGTTGCTAGGCTTATGAGAGATAAACAAACTGAAGAACTTGTTGCTGTTAAGTATATTGAGAGAGGTGAAAAGGTTCATGCCTATAACTAACTCTGAAAGCTTAGAGAAATTTTCTGTTTTTGTTTTTGAATAGAGAAATTAATGTTTCTTTGTATTACTTAACAGATTGATGAAAATGTACAAAGAGAAATTATAAATCACAGATCATTGAGGCATCCGAATATTGTTAGGTTCAAGGAGGTAAGAAGAACACTAGCAATGTTTTAATTTTATCATACTGTTATTTTCTAGTTAGTTCCTATCTTAGAAGTGTTATAATTAGTTCTTTGATGATGTATGTGACTTTAGGTTATATTGACTCCAACACATTTAGCGATTGTAATGGAATATGCTTCTGGAGGAGAGTTATTTGAGCGAATATGCAATGCAGGGCGATTCAGTGAGGATGAGGTCCTTATCATTGTCGCTCATTTGTGTATAGTTTTGTCCACGTGTGCATTTAACATCTATTATTTGATGATGTAGGCGCGATTCTTCTTCCAACAACTTATATCAGGTGTTAGCTATTGTCATTCAATGGTATGTACATGTTCGCCTCATGTAGTCTTGAATTTTAGTACAGCGAGATGTCTCTGACTTGAAATTCTCGATTTTAATTCTTGAATGAAGCAAGTATGTCATCGCGACTTGAAGTTGGAAAACACATTGTTAGACGGTAGTGCAGCTCCACGTTTGAAGATTTGTGATTTTGGATATTCAAAGGTATGATATAGTCTTGCTTTATTTTTTATCACATTTTATCTTTGATTTATTAGTTAATTTGTGCTTCTTTATGCATCTTCATTGTCTTAATTTTTCAGTCCTCGGTACTACATTCGCAACCAAAATCTACCGTTGGTACCCCTGCATATATAGCTCCTGAAGTTTTGCTTAAAAAGGAATATGATGGAAAGGTATATAGATTTTGATTATTTTTAGCATGTTATCAAGAATTCATCTATAGTATTGTTGACACTGAATAATAACTCAGATTGCAGATGTTTGGTCTTGTGGGGTGACATTATACGTCATGTTGGTGGGTGCTTATCCTTTTGAAGATCCAGAGGAACCTAAAAATTTCCGCAAGACAATACATGTAACACATTTTGTCTCTGTGTTTTTTATAAATCAATGTAGTACTTTTGGTTGAATAGGTTTTTAAGTAAAATCTTGTATGTTTCTTGCAGAGGATTTTAAATGTTCAGTATTCAATTCCTGACTATGTTCACATATCACCTGAATGCCAGCATCTGATTTCAAGGATTTTTGTTGCTGATCCTGCAAAGGTCAGTTTTTCTATTTCGGTACATAGACGAAGTGGTAATAAATAATCACTTGAAACTCACACACACAACCGTAAGTACAAAGCTTCGAACCCTGGTGATGACGTCCAACCGAACAATATTGGCTTCTGGCAGTTGAACTTGAATTTGCAGACACTTCTCCATTTTTTGTATCAAATGATGAGTGTATTAAACTAATGTCATTTTTAAAACAGAGAATAAGTATTCCTGAGATTAGAAACCATGAGTGGTTTATGAAGAACCTTCCGACTGATCTCATGGATGAGAATGGAACAAACGATCAGTTTGAGGAGCCTGATCAACCAACGCAAAGCGTCGAAGAAATCATGCAGATAATTGCGGAGGCGACAGTTCCTGCAGCAGGAACTCAGAGCCACAACCAGTATCTTACTGGAAGTTTGGATATTGATGATGACATGGAAGAGGATTTAGACACTGATCCTGACCTCGATATTGATAGCAGTGGAGAAATAGTTTATGCTATGTAAACCGGTGGAAGGAATGTGATTGAATTTTCCATGATCCACCCTGTTTGCATTTATGTTTGTGTTGCTTTGCTTTGCATTCATAGCGGTTTTTTTAAATATTATTATATACACATTAAATGAAAAAGAACTGTATTATATGTGTATGTATATATCGTGTATCTATATAATCTATATATGTATATTTGCATGCTGTGCACTGCATGTCTTTAGTTAAAATACTTCAAAAGGCCTTGTATTTTTTCAACACATTGACTTTATTTAACATTCACTGAGTACCACAAAGCTCTTCTATATATTAATATCAATTTCTCATTGATTAAACTGTACATAGCGTTCAAAAAATAAATTAAAATACACTGTACATGTACATGTTTTTATCTACATGTTAATCAAAGAATATAACGTGAATGGGTAAGACATGGCATAATGAAATAAATAACTATCTGAAAACTAACACATCAGTATCGATCAAAACTGGAAAGAAACGAAGTTTTGTTTGCCTTTGGTGGAGTTATTCGGTTCTCTTCAGATTTTGAGCTCAAAGGAGAAGCTTGTGGCATGAGTTCAGATAGTCGAATCTTTTCTTTCATAATTTTATTCTGCGTTAGAAGAGAAGAACCGACTTTCGTTATTTTTTATTTAAAATTTGACATAAACATATTGGAATTCACTCTACACTAGTATGTAGATCCTGTATAGACATAAAGATACACATGTATTACATACATACCTTAAACTTCAAATCTTCTTGTTCCATTTCCAGGGAAGTTATCCTATTCTTGAGCTTGTCTAAGGCCTCCTCAGCAATAGTAGGATTCACATCTGACACTGGTTTTGCTATTCCAGCAGCCTGAATGCAAACGCATAATCATTGTCAAATTAGTATACAATTAATTTAATTAGTATCTTGCCAAGTTAAGTGATTTTGTTTTCTTTGTTTATTGCACTAAAAACCACTAATTATTGTCTTACCTTTAGAACATTTGTACACAATCTCAGTAATTGTTGTGCTAATTGAATTTTCTCTTCCTCAGTCTCCTGTGACATTATTCACTTAATATTTAAGCATCCATTGTTTTAGCAATTTGGAGTACAACATACTAGTTAGAAAACTAACCTTCACATTTTTCCTCAGACGTTGCTCCTGATCAAAATCAATATATTGTTTTGATCCTGTAGAAGCACGAAGCCGAGCAATGTCTTCTTGGACACGTGTCATGAAGTGATTTGACCGGCGTAACTTTGCGCTAAGTTGTTCATTCTGCATCTTTAATGTGTTGTTTTCCTCCTGTAGCATTATTACACCGTCAATCCCATGATCGAATAAAAAGATATATAACTATTAAATTATTAATAAATAATTTGTCAACATATTGAACTTAGCGCCTGCAAAAATAATGGAGGAAGTGCAAGGTGATGTTACCTTAATTTTAGCATGATGATGAATACGCTGCTGAAGATTTTGCTGACCCGACAGCTTCTTGATTTCTTCCTCCAATTCTATTACCTTACTCATCTTACTTGCATTTTCCATCTGCTCAAAACGAGTTCAGCAACATTAGCCCATTAGATATAAAAGAGAATGAATGCACCCAAAAAAACAAAGAAAAGTATCTTTAAACTTCTACCCTCAATAATTCATTTTCATTTTTTAGCTGCCGAAGGTTTTCCAATGCACTCTGTGCAGCTACTAACTCGGTTTGTTTTCTATCGATATCTTGCAACCATCTGATTAGTAAGGTTAGAGCATCAAATGAGTGTGTAAGAAAGAAAATCTAACAAGTAGTTTAACATTTGAGATTCTGATATCAATACCAAAAAAGTCTGAAACATAATTACCCGTTCCTTTCTTCAATAAATTCGTTAAGCTGCCTCTTTAGTTTAGTAACCTCTTGTTCCTGAATGCAGCCAGCAATTCATCTTAACTAAGTTTCAACATGATAACAGTGAAATCTAGTAGAAAAGTTGGACTACCTTGTCTTGAGGTTCTAGAGTATGAAATTGAGCTTTCTCTGCAATCTTCTGAACTTGATGATTATCCAGCAGTGACTACATTAACAAGATTAGATGAGCCTAATTGTGAAATAGAACTCTATAGGTTCTTTTGTTAAAGACTTGTTTTCTCATTTTTATCACCACCTATCTTTCAAGGAGGTGATCCCATTTGTCCCGTAACTATAAATTATAACTATAAATTACAAGCACGTGACTTCTGCTCAAAATAGTGAGTACATGATAACCAATTTATTTTCCTGTATGTATCACATAAAAAACTGAAATTCAAGAAAAATCACTCGAAGTAGAAGATTTTACCACATAAGAGGTCATATCCAACTTCACTCCAAGTAAATCCCGAATTACATCATGGGTCATGCTCTCCGCAGTTGCTAATCTGGCATTCAGTGCAAATATCTGGACAAGGAAAAGGAATAAACAAATTGAAGCCAATGATCACATTCAGTTGAGGAGAAAACCAACCTCTTTCTGTCGACATGCTGCCTGAGACTCTAGTTCCTCAATTTGCAGTTTTGCAGCAGACAGCTCTTCAATCTTTTCATTTTTAACCTGTTGTGCCAATCCCAACCCAATACACTTGAAAGGAGAACCAGAACCTCGAGACTTGGTCGCATTCTTCTCAGACTTGTTTGACAGAGCATTGGTGGATTGCAGAGCATTGGTGGATTGCGTGGAAATGCCCTCAGGTTTGACTTGCTCGACCATCGCTTCCAATGCTTTGAACTGATTTAAAATAATGATATACTTAACATTATGAAAATGTATATAAAAGTTTACCAATGGTACTTCTAAGCCTTAAAAATCAACCGAGACATTTTATTTGATATAATAACTAAAGTTACTTTCTGCTTGTACTCCATTGCCTGTGCTTCAGCATGCAAATTAAGCTCTGAAATATGAGCTTTCATTTGTACAACCTATCAAAAACCAACACAGAAACAAAATAATGTTAGAAGAAACTTAAAAACAAAAATATGTAACTAGCATTATCCGAAAAATCATACCTCTGCATCTTTTCCTGCAATATCACTCTTCAGAACCTGTATGTGATTTTGGGCTTCTTCAAAGCTTTTCTCTTTTTCATCCAGAAATCTACAAGAAATAAATAGTTTTTTAAGACCAGCCCAGCAGATTTGCATGCCTATATTATACAGAGTAATCGTCCTAAACCTTTTTGTATCATCATCAGCATTTCGTAGATTTTGCATCTGCTCTTTTAATGCACATAGCTCCATTTCTAGATCTTCTCTTTGCAGGCGTTGTCGTTCAGCTTCTCCTTTAATGAAGTCAACCTGACCAAAATAATTAATGAAGCGTTACTTCAATGCAGGTAAACAAGCTTTCTGTTATAAATTATAAAAAACTACTTACATTTTCTTCTAGTACATTTACAGTACTTTCCAGCTCTTCAACAGATCTCTCAAGAAGTTCAACCTCTGCTTCCTTGTCTTCAGCATAAACTTTTCTTGCTTCAGCCATCTGAAATTGTTTAAAGAAATTCAGTCACAAATAAAAACATCCATTCAGCTAGTAGATGACTTTTTCCTTTGACCACTGAGTTTCTAAGCAAATGAAAATCAATGGTGATCATTAAAACTATAAATTTCAAAAGTCAGATAATTGGAGTTAAGTTCATAATTGCACTCGAAGTTATTCTTGCTTTTTTGGTACATCAATCTCTATTGAATTCTCAACTCCTGCGCTTTCAATTACCTATCTAAATTATTGTCTATCTCTTCAAACTTTACAAAGCTATCTAAATTATTGTCTATCTCTTCAAACTTTACAAAGCACAGATCCAACATAGATATGGCTTACTGTTTCATTTTTTAGTGAAAATTGAAATCAGCATGTTAGAGCGCTTAAGATGCAACGTTTTCGTCTCTGCTTAGAACATGATACCGAGTTCTTTATGTTCAGTCTTCAAATGTTTCTTAATATTCACATTAGTGGAAAACGTGCTGCGGGATTAATCGATTAAGTGTTACCTTTCGAGCATCTTGTGCAATCGCTTCATTAGCTTCAGCTTGTGCTACAGCTTTTTCAAACCTTTCTTCGAGTAAAATCACCTGACCTTGAAGTTGATCCCTCTGAATAGTTAGGCCATCCCTATCAACACTTAAGTTTTTAATTGAATCATTCATTTGGCCAAGAACATCGCTCATTTCCGAGATTTCATGCTCTAAACTCTCTGTTATCTTCTTTCTCTCTTTTAGATCCTCCTCAGCCAATTTTCTTTCCGCCAAGGCATCTTTAATATGAGTTCTAAGTTCATGAATTTCACTGACTTGCAGCTTTACAACCTCACACTCTTTTGAGAGTTCCAACTCAAGAGCTGTAACTATGTTTGATTTATCCGTTAACTGAGTTTCAAGCAACTGACATTTGGCAACTACGGAAGTAAGCTCGCCAGATTTAACTGCAAGCTCGGACTCAAGTTCTTCCATTGTGTCCATCATTTCCTCCATTTCATCCTTTTGGTCTTTACTGATAGATGCAGATTCCTGCAGTAAGCTCAGATCATACAGCAACCCTTTTATTACATCTTGCTTTCTAGATAACTCAAGTTCCATCAAACTTTGTATTCTAGTTATCTCTAAATCCCTTAGGTGCAGCTCATTCTTTAGTTTGCAACATGAATTCTCCAATATGTAGTTTGTGCTCTTTAACTCTCTGATTTGATCTTCAAGAAACAAAATCTGATGGAAAGCAAATTCAGAAACCACATTCTTTGCTATGACATCACCAATTACCCTATCATAATCAACCTCAAGATCTCGAATCTTATCCAGAAGTCTTTTCTCTGACTCCTTAACTTCAACAAGTTTACCCTTCAAAGCAACATTAGAGCAACTAACATCCTTTAGAAGCTCAATATTTTGTTCAACTACCTTGTTTACTTCACTCATCTCTGTAATCCTTAAGATGTACTGCTTCAGTTCCATCAATAAGTTCTGCTTTTCTTCTTTTTCCTGCTGAACTTCTCGCTTTAGTACAGAAACTTCAATTTCCTTATCCATCAAAATTTGTTCTGCTAACTCAGAATCTACCTGGAAACATATTGTTTCTTTTTTCAACTGTTCAATTAATGTAGAGTACTTGACAAAACGATCCTCCATATCAGATATATTATATGTCATGATTCTGAATTCAGAAGCACGGATGAGTAATTCAAAGTCTTTGGTGTAACAATCTGCCATTAAAAACTCAGCTTGAGACTCAGTATCCTTTAGAAGGTCAATCTTTTGTTCAAGTGCCTCGTTTACTTCACCCATCTCTCTAATCCTTAAGCTGTTCTGCTTCAATTCCATCAATAAGTTTTCCTTTTCTACTTTTTCCTGCTGGACTTCTCGTTTTAGAAGGGAAACATCAACTTCCTTATCCTTTAGAAGGTCAATCTTTTGTCCAAGTGCCTCGTTTACTTCACCCATCTCTCTAATCCTTAAGCTGTTCTGCTTCAATTCCATCAATAAGTTTTCCTTTTCTACTTTTTCCTGCTGAACTTCTTGTTTTAGAAGGGAAAGATCAACTTCCTTATCCATCAAAATTTGTGCTGCTAACTCAGTTTCTACCTGGAAAAATATTGTTTCTGTTTTCAATTGTTCAATTAATGTAGAGTACTTGACAAAATGCTCCTCCATATCAGATATATTACAGGCCATGTTACTGAATTCAGAAGCATGGGTAAGTAACTCAAAGTCTTTGGCGTACCAATCTGCCAGAAGAAATTCAGCTTGAGACTCAGTATCTTCTACTTTCTGTTTCAGTAGTTTCTCTTGATCTAAAAGGGATACAACAAGATCGGTATTACTCAGATCCAATTCCTTCATCAACGTAGCAAGTTGGGATCCCATTTCATTAGACCTTTGCAGCATCATCTCCTCCTGAAGCTGTAGATCTGATATGTTTTTAGCAAAAGTGTTTAACTTGACAGTGATCTCTCCAGCTTCCACTTCTTTCCTAGTGATGCGATCGAAACTATTCTGAATATCAGCAAGCAGTTTCCCTTTCAAGATTCTGCACATTTCTAGTTCTTCCCTTGCTCTAAAATTGTGTTCCTTCAGATCACTTATGACAGCGTTTGACTCACACAAGCCATGTGAAAGCAAGCCATTTTCTGCATGCATTCCTGTCACTGTTTCCAGAAGAACACTCATGTGACAGAGATGTAGTACAGACATAGCACAATCTTTATTAACTATCTCAGACCAGATCTTCTCAAGCCATGGTTGAATCAACTTAGTGGAACATATAAATTGAGACTTCAAGGATTCTATATCACAAGCTAAAGAGGTAAAATTTTCCTTCATCGCCAAATGGACCTCTTTAATGACATCATCTACCTCCATGACTAAGTCCCTTGTTTCTATAAGATTTGATTCAACAAGGTCTTCCATCTCCTGTTGCTTCAAATCAACAACGGTCTGTAAGCTCTCAACCTTGTTGAATAATTCATCCTTCTCACTGAGCAATGTGACTTCTCTTTCTTTCAGTTTTTCTATATCAATCTTCATTGACTGATTAGCTATCACTAATTCATTGATCATAATATCTGCTTCTTTCATTGTCTCTTGGGCTTCTTCAAATTTAGCATGAATACAGTATGCCTCTTCCGCTTTTTGAACTTGAACGATCTTTGCCTCCCCGACTTCTAGTTCAAGCAACTGCAAAGAAAAATGTGAAGTGTATATGAAATTGTTGAATTCAAACATAATTCGTTCAGCATTAAAGTGTCTATCAGCATTAAGCAGGAAAATGCATGACAACAGGAGTAGCAATTCAATATGCGTAAGGTAGTAAGTATACGGAAAATTTTCATTATTATAGAATGAAAGAGAACAAAAACAGGAAGAGACTCTTCACAACAATCATTAGTGCAGAGGGATGTCATATTGCCTAAAAAAGTGTTTAAAAGTGGGAGGCATCCCTGGCCCTGGCCTTACAATTCAGTTTCTAGGGTTGAGTGAGGCTCAAATTGAAATTCCATAAATGAATTTAATAGCAAAAAGATTACCTCTTTCGTCTGATTCCAATAGGACATAGCTTCTTTTAGTGTTTTCTCCAGGTTCCTAAGCTTGCAACTGAGTACTTCGACCTTAGCTTCGGATTGCTCTTCAAAGTGTCCCATAGCTTCTTGCAGGGAAAGTATTTGAGTTGTGAGACACTTGATACTTTCCCGACTTTGCTTTTCACATATTGACATCTCTTTCTTCTCTTCATGTAATTTGGCTATCTCATCTTGAACTTCTTTTAAGCTTTCAAGAGCAGATTCTATTTCTTTTCTCAACAGAGTAATCGTAGCATCTCTTTCATATGCATCCTTGGAAACATTTCGTGCTTTACGGTCTTTCTTGTCATACCCACTGTTGGCCAATTTAAAGGATAAGTCAGCCATCTCAGCTATTTGATGATGTGTTTCAGAACTTGTCTGCAACAATAACATTCGAAAAATATCATTAGGTTACACTTGGTTCACCTTATCATCAAAGTGTGACGTGCATACATCCAAAATATTTCTATATCAAAATTCCATAATGAAATAAAATAGCAAAATACTAAATAAAAAACCATTCACAGACCATACCAATGAGTAAAATAAATGTGGCAATGGCATATTAATCTATCAAAATATAGCATTAGCTTACCCTTGATTCACCATTATCGGCAAAAGAGGCCATGGATGACCTGATTGAGGAGACGCCATCTTGTAGTGTTACTAGTTGCTCCCTAGTCTCTGAAATGACACTCTTTTCAATATCTTCAAGTTTATGTTCCAAAGCAAAAGAGTGCTCTTTCTCCTCAGACAGCTTCTGCCATAAGTTGTCACATTTTTCCTGCAACTCAGCTATCTGCATCTTTGCTTGTTCAAGGGAAGTGGATTGATCAATTAGAACAGCGTCCTTCTTTTCATTAATTTCTGCTAGTTCATTAAGCAGATTATCCTTGTGCTTTAGATCAACAAGATAACCATCATTCACATCTGACAATCTATTCACAACTACAAAAGCTACAGTTGCACAACTTGATGTTTTTCGGATTTGATCTCCAGCCAATATCAATTGCTCCTGCAACTCAGCTATCTGCCTCTTTGCTTGTTCAAGGGAAGTGGATTGATCAATTAAAACAGCATCCTTCCTGTCACTAATTTCTGCTAGTTCATTAAGCAGATTATCCTTGTTCTTTAGATCAACAAGATAACGATCATTCACATCTGACAATCTATTCACAACTACAAAAGCCACTGTTGCACAACTTGATGTTTTTCGGATTTGATCTCCAGCCAATATCAACTGCTCCTCCATCTGTTTCAGAGCAGTCGTTCTTTCACTCACTTGTGATGTCAGTAGGAGAATTTCTTCTTCTAGTTCAGCTGACTCCTTCTGGTGGGCTTCAGTAATCACAAGTGTTGCACTTCGCAAGGACTTCAGCATACACTCCATATCACTTCTTTTATTGCACGCGTCTTCCAAACATCTTCCGAGCTCGTCAATTAGCAATTCCTTTTCAGAGATTTTTCTAACCATCATGCTAACTTGTTCAGAAATCCATATCCTTTTCTGTGGAAGTGAATTGCTTATATGCCCCAGTTCATCAGAGGCATCATCTAGTGCCTGACATCCATCACCAAGAATCTCTTCAATCTCAGAGGTTAACAATTCCCATTCTTCGACAAGTGATTTGAGTGCATTATCTCTCTGCCAAAGCTTTTCACTTAAACTTTGGTTATCATCAACAGTAGTAAGCAATTTTTCTTGCACATCCTTCAATTCAGTTTCCAAATGCAATATACTCTCCTTCATTTCTATTTCCTTCTGATGGCTATCATTGACTTGATGTTGTAACTGGGCAAGTTCTTCCTGCATAGACACAATTACCTCAGCAGTTTCAGCCTCAGCCTGCCGACGAACTTCATCCATCTCTTCCTCATTAGATATCTGGAGTGCACGGTCGCTTTGGTAAAACATGTTCAGTTGCTTGGCTTTTTCAAGAGAATCATGCATCCTTCTGAACCTTACTTGTAAAGGGTACTCATTATCAACCTTTGGATGATTTGAAGATAAACTGTCTCTTAAACCTTTAGGTGCAAGTTGATTCTTCAAGGAAATGATCTCACGCTCTTGTTTCCTCACAAGATCCAGATAATTGTTGTTCTTGTTCTGCATGTCTTCTATCTCTTTGATTGATAAAGTTTGTTGTGATTCAAGAGCTTCAATTACAGATTTAGCAACTTTCAGTTCATTATCTGTATCTTCTAATTGTTTGTTTGCCTGCAAAAGCTTGTCTTTTCCCATTAGAATTTCATGATTTAAGTGCGTTGCTCTCTCCTCCAATATACCACGGGAAGTCCTCTCTTCCTTCAGAATTATCTTTAATATATCTAACTCCAGGTGTAAATCCAAGATATCATCTGTTTCTTTTAACAATTGAGGTTCATGTTTAACCGCCACCATCTTAGGTGGAGAAACCTGAAAATAATAATGATAACAAGATATGTTATTTCACAACATCGAACTACCATTCATAATAATGAGTAAAAACACAACAATTCCCAATAAATTAAATAACAAAATGTGTATGAATTTTAAAGTACAGAAAGGAATAAAACCAAGAGCAGTTATCTCAGAATATTAAGAGTACCTTTGTGGCATCTTTGTTGTTGAACATTGACTGCAAAGAGTCTAATTCCCTGTATATAGATATGTAATATAAGAATAGTTAGCATTCTTATATATATTATTATCTATACTTTCCATTCAAATTCTTCCCCTAAAATTGAGAGCTTCAGTTTGTTATTATACAATCAAAAAAATTTCAACCGGAGAACAAAACATACCTATTGAGTCTTGCATTCTCCTCTAAACAACAATTTAAGTTGTGCCTGTACTCCTCTAACTTATCCAGAGCATTTCTTAGCTACGTTCCATAAACAGAAGGGGTTATACATCTATATTTTGAATAGGAAAAAAGTTGGATTTATTATACAGGCAGGAACAAACCTCTAGATAAATGGAGTCATTTTGTTTGCTGCAACACTGAGTTTTCTGCATCAATGGTAATTAGAAACTGTGAAAAATATCTTTTTTGGTGTATTCAAGGAGTTACAACTATAATTATTTCCTTGTGTCGGAACATACAATTACTGTCAGGTACATAGATTTTCAGGAAAAGAGAATAGGCAAAAAAATGGGAATGGAATGTTCTACGGATGGAAACTATGAACTGCATCAGGTGATTATAAACTGACCTGAGGTTGAGTTTCATAACTTGAATCGCCCTGAACAGATTTTCCTCCAAGAAACTGAAGCAACTGCACAACAAAGGTTTTCGATACTGTAAGCTTTCAAAACAAGGAATCTAGAAAGGAAAATATTTCTTTATTATATAAAATAGAGACGCGTGTACCTGTTCCCTTAAAGAAGATACTTCATTTAATAAAATCTCTCGCTCCCCTTCTCCATAGAACTCTTCATATCTGTGGTAGTCATAGTAAGGAAGTCTAAATAGAGAGGACATTTAACACTCCACAGTATTGGGAAAAGAAGATGTATAACCTTCTAAGTTGTTCTTGAAGCCTGATATTCTCCTTAGCAAATCGTGTAACTTCAGGATTTTGATCAATTTTTCCTTGAAGTAACTGAATCTCATCAGAAAGTGCTTTATTATCTTCTTGCAAAAATTGATCTGCAGTAATAGAACCAGCAACTCGAGATTCCAATCGACGAATTTTATCTTCACGAAACCTAAGCATCATTTTGCAACTCATAGTTTCCTCCTCTCTTTGATGAACCTGAGCACAATGGGTTACAGATAAAATGTGAAGAGGCAGTTGAAATATAAAACTGCAAGAACGAGAAGATCTTATAGGGGAAATACCAAAGAGTTCAATAGTTCAACTTCTGCTTCTAATTGCCTAATAGAAGTTTCTGCTATTTGCTCCCTTCTTAAAGCACCGGCAAGAGTTGTCTGCAGTGATTCAAACTGAGCCACAAATAATTTTGAAAATATAAATAAATTATTGTGTAACAGCAATGAAATTCTAGTTGACCATCTTTAACCTAGCAAAGTCTAGTCAAGTATACCTGTTTGTGAGACATTCTGGTGCCCTTGGATTCATAATCAAGCATATCATCATCATGTTGTTCTGCCATGTCAGTTTCATTTTCCAAAGAATAGTCTTCTACTGATTGTTTTATATCTCTAAATGACAATGACCTGGAAACATTCTGGCACCGTTTGAGCGTAGAAATCTCCTCCTGCCACAAAAGTTCACCGTTTGAGTTTAATTGTTTACTGTTGACGCAAACTTTACACTGTCTACAGAAAATAACTTAGACTACCTTCAAAAGCCGAATTTGATGTTTTAAAGCAATTACATCCCCACTAGAATCTTCGTTCACCACAGCCTACATGAAGAAGAAACAAAACTTATATTGGCGGACCATATCTTCATTGGAAACAATTCAGACTGATCATAGAATGACACTCACATTATTTTGAATCAGTTTTGCTCTCTGAGCAAATTTAAGGGTATTCAGCGTTTCAGCAGCACAGCTACAAAAGTGAAGATAGTAAAACTCCATTAGACTTGTAAGGGAAATTATAGAGTTTCTATGAAAGAAACGTAGATCGAGATTAATGAACAAACCAGATAGAAGGGCTGACATTGGCAATAATCATTGTTTTCGAGTTTCCACCAAGAGAATCCTGCATTTGATGCCAAAAATAGTGATGAATAAAATCATCATGAGAATCAAAATGTCAAAGGAAGTCAGTAAATAATCAACCTGAAGAAGAAATGTTAGCCTGGAGTCTCTGTAAGGGATATGCCTCTGCTTCCCGTTTGCAACATCCACTAGTATCATAATGACATGACTGCAATCAAGATCAGAAAATATCAGTTCATAATGAGAAAGCACAAATAAGAGAATGCTACCCATACACACAAAATCAAAACATATATCTATTAAAGTAAAAATATACCCCAAAGTAGATAATGACTTATTGATGCTAGCCGCTTCCTTTAAACGCTCACCCTCAGCACCAGAAGTTTTCTGTCTGTCATAAACGATAATAATTTGGTTAGTAAATGTGCATACATATCTCAAGCTACATTTGGCTTAATTGATTTAGAGGATAATGTCATACCTTTCAGAACCAGCTAGATCAACCAGGTTTAACCTTGCAAAACGGTAATTCGTAGTAGAATCCTTTTCCCAAGTACTCTCGATTACACATGTAAAAACACAGTGGGACCTACTGCTTTCTCTATTCATGTTTGTAGCTGCAACTTTTCTATTTGCCGAACCCTACAAGTCAGAAACTCAGCTTAATGGAAGAGAGTGCATGAGAATGCAAATCTATGTCATCATGCATATAAATAACACGGACAGAGGAATATGTTTGAGGATGCCTCAAAATGAACAAGATAGTCCAAGAAACAAGCACCTGAATTAGAAGCCTTAGAATGTCGCCCACACTTTGAGCCTCAAACTCGGAAAGATTTTCAACGTAAACACCCTTCTTGACATCCTCCCGCAGCTATCAAGAAAGACAGAGTAGTGAAAATTAATTAAACATGCTTTGACAAATTGACAATCGTCTGATGAGGGAAGAACTGTACTTACAAGCAAATTGGTAGACGAGGGATCAAGTAGATCTGTAATTTGTTCATTGTAAATCTCCAAGAAGGAACACTTGCAATTGTATTTTAAGTTCTCATCTCTTCTGCTTTCCTCTTCCTGGAAATTAATTGGGAGAAGACAGTAAAAAATTAAAAAGATATATAATTAATGATCTACTCTGGTCAAAAAAATTGACTTCTCAATATACATATAAAAATGAAGAAGACACAAGTGAGGAATTTACAGCTTGAATCCTGGCGAACAAAAACTCAAATATACGAGGAGTCATTCCACGATGAGGACTGGGCTTCACATCTAAATCTTCAATTTCACCAAGCATTGTATATGTTTTCCCACTTCCTGTCTACAAAATTGAGCAATGCATTAATCATGTTACAACTACCATTTCTAATTAAGCTACTCTGCACCAGAGCATACAATATCTCAAAAGATAGCATAGAACTATATACTGAACAACTTTGTGATAAATTCTCCATCTGCTTTGTATAAAACGTATGGAGCCCCAAAACTTGTAATCCCTTCAAGTATCTTTACCGTCTAGTATTTGATATCAATATTCTGAGATGCTTCACAGATACTTAAAAGTACTGTATTTAGGCATTTAAAAGAAAGTTGAATAATTCGATAACAGCTGGGACAATTTAAGTTTCAACTTAAGAAGTATCATCAATGTGGCTTGAACTCTTTGATCTGGACATACAACTTTTTAGTTTCTCAAACAGTCTTTTCATCTTCTAATTTGTATTTAGATGTCAGCATCATCAACTCAAAATCTTCCCTTTTCTACCTCAGTCAAGTTTAACCGCAGGTTTCTTTTTTTTTTCCCGAGTTCATTTTAATGCATAGGTGTGCTATACTGTACACTAAATGTAAGTTTGTGTGGAAATCTAGGTCAGCCTGGTAATGTATTTTCACATGCGGCAACTGGCAGTGAATATGTTTGTTACATATTTATGCCAAAGTCCAAACTCGCTTCTAACCATTTTTATGACGAGATAATAAGATGATGTCTGAGTATGAAATTTTGGAATTGCAATTCCATGGTATACGAGCACAGTTTGTACAATGTTAATGTAGCCTGTCATATTTGATTACAAAAATCGGGCTATGCTATGGAGGGAATTGCTGATTAAAAAAAATATGTTTCTATTCCAGTACATACTCTGTATAACTATGGACATAATCAGTGGAGACTTTGTATGAGCAGTAACAATCGATATCGATTCAAATTGGATGTACATAAATAACTTCAAGATGATAGAATGACTTAGTTCAAGAGAATACCTGTCCGTATGCAAACATACAGCTATTGTATCCTGAAAGACAGTTCTCAACCATTGGAAGACCGGCCATTCTGAAAACCATATCCTACGAAACACAATTGGAGACAGAAATTAACAATAACTTCTAAGAAAAAGTGTGCAATAAACTAAACTGCATTCTCAAAATTACCATACCTGGTCTACTGTTTCACATGCAACGTGATCAAAAGTGAACCGGTTTTCCGGTTGTCCAATCCAAGTAATGGACTGAGAGCCTTCTTGTTTTAGGCATCTATTATAGTTGTGTATACTCCTCTCCATGCTATTGAGAGGTCGAACACGGATAATTACCTACTCGTGACAAAAATCAACAACCCAACATCAGAATTCAACAAATCAAAATGAATCACCTCAATTACAAACTAAGTAGGTATTGTACTCATCAATCAATAACACATTACAAAGTAAACCAATCAGAGTAAACTCAGTCATTCACTCATACCTGTACATTATGATTAATCCAAAATGAAGAATCCTCTTTGAGATCGAAGTGAGGTACTTCAACCGTGTTAACAACGGTGGTAGGCGTACAAGATGTACTCGAAACCCCTTTATACAATGTACCATAGTTTCCCAAACGAGCACTGAAGCTCCCATCAGCTTTACCTCGAACACTCGAGCTAGGAGGAGGCTTAGTCACACTCTTAGTCGGAGTACTGTAAGTCGAATTGCTTTCAGAACAAGCTCTTCCCGCAGTACGATTCACCTTAGGAGTACCATTTCCAATACCAGATCCTCTTCTATCCTCAATCATAGACGAAACTGTTTCCATTCTCTGAGGCCATGCGAACCTGTGTTTCCAGTGCAAGCTCTTTTCAGGAGTACGAAGTTCAGGTCCTACTTTTCTTTTGTTGGTTTTAGATGGAGTTTTCTCAATCTTACTGCTTCCGGAACTCGCATCAGTATCTTGAATAGTATTCAATGGAGGTCTGGAAGCTTCCATGCATCTCGGATTTGTCCCCGACGACCACGAATCCGACGGATCTACATTTTCAATTTCTTCTTGTTTGCCAAGATTCCGACGTGGAATTTTTGAATCTCTCAGCATTCTATCATAGATTAAAAAAAATCAAAATAATAAAAACAAATGAAATAAGAACAATAACGAGTTACAAATTGAATTTTTTTTTGTTTTAAATTACCTGAAGGTGGAATTGAAGAACAAAACACCGAATCGAAGAATTTGAGTAGTTATGATTTGAGATTGAACGGAAAGTTCAACATAGATAAAAAGTTTGAAGTACAGAGTTACGAACACTATCAGTGTGAGGGTTTCGTTGGTGTTTTCAGTTTTTTTTTTATTTGAATTGAAAATCGCAGTTGAATTTGAAGTGACGAAAAAAGGAACTTGAAGTGAACGGTTGAGATTTGATGTGGAATTAAATGCTGTGTGATGAAATAGTAATCGCGGTTTGGAGATTTGAATTTCGAAGGGTATTATCGTCATTGAAGGTGGGACCTTAGTTAAGACTAATATTCAAATTTTCAACGGCTAGACAATGGTAATGGGGAAGGCCATGGCCACCATATAATTATATATTTTTAAAAATAAAATTTATATACTGCATGCAAGCTAGTAATAGTTGGGTACCTTGTAGCTTAATTTAAGATTTTGTATATAGCTCAACATAATAATAGAAACAATTAACTATAACAGGCGCATAGTTTGTCAAAGAAAATGGAAAAATGTTTTTCCTAATAATCTTTATTACAAAAATAAGATGGTCTAATTAAAAGAACTTTAACCACAAGTTAAAATACTGTTTTAAATCCTAATTTAATAATTAAAATACACAAAATATAATTATAAAATAATACAAAAATTCATCTAGAATATGATGATAAATTCATCAATCATATAGAAAAAATGGTTTTGACTAGCTTTGGGGAAATGGAGGTAAGATTGACATTTTTTTAGGTCAAGTACTATTTATTATCATTCTTCTTTCGACATTTTTTTATGATTCAGTGAGAAGTTTTTTTCTTTTAAACTTTTAATAATCAGAAGAAACAAAGGAAAGTTAACACTTATTTGTAAAATGTATTAAATGATTCTCGTTGAGTACAACGGACGTAAGAGATGTAATACCTTTTTTCGTATAACCGATTCTCGAACTCAAATTTAGTTGCGACAACCATTTTTTTTTCTTTAAAAGTTTTATAGATATTTTCTCTTTCTTTTTGGAATAAATAAACTTCGTTGGCAACTCTGTTATTATTTCGAGCATGCGAGCACCAGGGTATTTTTTGCGCCGCAATATAGAAAATCCTTATTGAAAATATAACCTTTTCGAATTGAATTAGAAAATAATAATATGAAAAATAAATTTATGTTAAAAAATAACAACTTACATTGATTAATGTTTTACGAAATTTTTGCAGTCCATTATCTACATCTCGCTATTTGACAATCATAATTTGATTCAATACTTATAAATCTTCAATCAACACTCCTTTTTTACTAGTTCATTTTGCAAATTTACTAATACTTTGCAAAATGAACTAGTACTTAAGGAAGGGTTGGTTGAAGAATTAGAAGCGTTGAACCAAATTCTAGTTGTTAAAGAGTGAGATGCGGATAATTGGTTGTAGAAAGCTAAAAAAATATTGATTAGTGTAACTTGTTCTTCTAATATAGCGCAAATGTTCATATTATTAATTTCAAAATTAGATTGATATGTTATATGTTTATTGTGCAGTTGACGAAATAAGCATTCCACATAAGTTATAATAAACTCAAGTGAACATATAATCACGATTAGAAAGTTGGCCCATGGTAAAAAAAGTGTTGGGGGAGGTTTTTCAACTAGGGAGCATGGAACATTGTGAGACTTTTTTTCTAGAACAACACCTTTGTGAGAGACACATCACATATTCACCCAAAACCTAAAGGTGATAGGTGTATGAGTTCTCCCACTTATAAATGCTCAAGTCTTCATATTTCTAGCCAATATAGAACTATTACTCATACTACTCACACTTCTTATACTTAACATTCCCCCTTAAGTGTGAGTCTATCCACAATGCTTCCACAATACTCCCCCTTAAGCAGAAGCTCTTTTCATCCACATACACTTATACCGTCGTTGACACTCTTCAACGGGGCACCTCCTAACCACCATCTGTGAGGAGTAATTTCGATACAAGCGAGTCGGTCCTTCACTCGAACCAAAGGCTCGTGATACCACTGTTGGGGGAGATTTTCACTAGGGAGAATTGAACATTCTGAGACTTTCTTTCTAGAGTAACACCTTTGTGAGAGACACACCACATACTCACGCAAAACCTTAAGGTGGTAGGTGTATGGGTTATCCCACTTATAAATTCTCAAGTCTCCGCGTTTCTAGCCAAGATGAGATTATTACACATACTACTCACACTTGTTATACTTAACAAAAAGTTGTACACTAAGTCTTTCACTACAGTTGGAATGTTCAACTATGGTGAAATGTCTAAAAAATATCTCAAAATGCTGGCTCTAAGCATCAAACACGTGATTTCCACCTTTTATATAGTTGGTTTCTACAACTGTAGTGATATGTTACGTGCTTTTGTGTTTTTACCACGACTGTCATCTTGTGGTAGTAAAGAGGGAAAATATAACCACACCCTTCGTTGTCACGGGCCACCAACCGTGGTGAAATCCTTCTTCGAACAGAGACAAAATGGCCTTTGTGAGTGCAACTTTCCAATTAGATGTATTTTGAATGATGTCAAAACTAGGATATTTTAGCGTTTGTGTACATTGGACGGTAACATTTGAGTCTAGTTGTACATTTTAGCATTAGTGAGCATGACAACATGTTGGAATAAGGATTAGAAAATATTCATGCATCAAGAAATGGATTTATGCATCAAAGACTCTTTTTTTATGTGAAAATGAGTTATAACTCTCCCCAACTTAGACTTGTTTGTCCTCAAAGAAGAATCTGAAAGTTCTGTGTTGGCTGTATTTTGCTAAAACATGTTGGTGCAGCTATATATTGTGCAAGATGTCTTGACATGTGGTCAAACATCTCAACAGGTTGTTTATTCAGGTTGTGCAAAGTTAGAATATAGGATGTCAAATCTGATGTTCTAACGTCATTGCAGAACTGAACAACATTCTTTTCAGAATGTTATGATTTGTTTGTTTCTATATTTTAGCAATCATCTGTGCTATCCTGGTGAGAGATATTGTCGGCGCAAATCAAGTGGGAGTTTTTCCTTAAACAAAAGAGTTTCTATTGTATATTTTGGGGAGTTTTTTAGGAATCTTTTGTCCTATTTTCATGCAGAAAATCTTGAGAAGATTTGAAGTTTGATTTGATTTGATTTGATTTGATCAAATCTGATTCGGTTCTATTTTTATGCCTTTAATTATGAAAACATTTGAAGAATTATCTGATTTGATTTGATCAAATCAGAGTTTGTTTTTGCTAATTCCCAAGCCCGTGCGAAGCGTTTCTATATAAAGACTTTACAATCATATTTGAAGCTTAGAGAAGATAGGGTTGAAAGTGCGCATTTCTTAAGGATTAGGGATTTAGCTTCTTGTGTTTTTGTTATTTGTGAGTCATTCATTCATCACCTAGATGCTTGAACTGGACTGAGTTTATTGAGTTGTAAGTGTCCACTCTAAAATTTTAAGTAACAGTGTATTGTCCTTGATTGAAGCTTTTAAGCAAGATCAAGTATTGTTTTTGGAGTGTGTCTTTCATTACTCTTTGTTATTAGCTTTGTCACTACTGTGTGATTAAGAAAAGTGAGAGGGGTATCATATCTAGGAGAGTTTTAGATAGAAGTTTCACTGGTAGAGATTAGGTAAGAAGATTGTAAACCTGAGGTTGTTTGCTAAGAATCTTCAAATTAATTATGTTTTAATGGATTTCCTTCCTGGCTTGGTAGCCCCTAGATATAGGTGAGTTGCATCGAACTAGGTTAATAATTTCTTGTGTTGTTTACTGATTTCTTATTGTGTTTGTTACCTTGTCATTTAGTTGATATCAGTTCAGATATCAATGTTGTGACATCGCCTTCAATATCTCATATCTGATACCAGAATTTCAATTGGTATCAGAGCAGACATCATGTTCTATATCTAGGTGAGATATAGGGAAGATACTTTCTAGTGCAATGGACAAGGAGGAAGGATTTGTCAACAATCCACCCATCCTGGATGGAACCAATTATGATTATTGGAAAGCACGCATGGTGGCCTTCCTGAAGTCTATGGATAGCAAGTCTTAGAAAGCTGTCATAAAAGGATGGGAACATCCTGTTGTTCAGGATAAAGATGGAAAGAAGACTTCTGAGTGGAAACCTGAAGAAGAATGGACTAATGAAGAGGATGAATTGGCTCTTGGAAATTCCAAAGCCTTGAATGCTCTATTCAATGGAGTTTATAGGAACATTTTCAGACTGATTAACACTTGCGTTGTAGCTAAAGATGCTTGGGAAATATTGAAAACTACTCATGAAGGCGCCTTTAAGGTGAAGATGTCGAGACTTCAGTTGCTCGCTACTAAATTTGAAAACTTGAGAATGAAAGATGATGAAAGTATTCATGACGTTCATATGAATATTCTTGATATAGCCAATTCATCTAGTGCATTAGGAGAAAGGATGTCATAGGAAAAACGGGTAAGAAAGATCCTCAGATCTCTTCCTCAAAGATTTGACATGAAGGTTACTGCCATAGAAGAGGCTCAGAACATCAGCAAGATGAGAATGAATGAACTTGTTGGATCCCACCAAACATTTAAATTAGGCATTAGTGACAAATCTGAAAAGAAAAACAAAAGCATAGCTTTTGTGACCAATACTAAAGATGGAGAAGATGAATGTAATCTGGATACTGATAAAGGAATATCAAATGCTATAGTGTTACTTGGGAGGCAATTTAACAAAATAATGAATATGATGGATAGGAAGTCAAAACCTAATCTCAAGAACAACTCATCTGACATCAGCAAGTCTAGTGAATTTGAAAGAAAACAAGAGCTGAAGAAAAATCCACTCAAGGCAAAGGGATTCAGTCTCATGGATGTGAAGGATTTGGTCATATTA